CGGTTCGGAATATAAATTAAGTCCTAAGTACGGTAGTAAACTGGGTCGGGCTGAATTTAAGAACTTTTAGATTACCACAATGTCGCGGAAAACTATCCGCGCGAAGTCTTCTTCTAAAGCTTCCGCAACCTTTTCGGATATTCATTCTTCGGAAAATTGGGAGCACACTGGAAAAAAAAGTTGGTTGTATTGAAATTCTTAAAGATGGAAGAATTTTCTGAATGACTTATAAATTTAGTTGAGATAACTAGAATTCTGATTAATAAGATCAAAATCTTCTGGTTCTCGTTCATTTTAAATCAAAAATTTGTCTCAGTACATGCAACATAAATGAGATCTACAATTGAAAATTGAATTCTATTTGGAAACTAAATTGAGAAAAAAATTGCTACAGAGCCAAAATATTCATCAAATTATAGAGAATTTTAAAACGTTTTGGCAAATTAAGCCAGGAGATTGCGAAATATATTATTTTTCATTTTATTGATCGAAAAATTAGTTAAATGTAATATTTTGGAAGTAATTACATTTTAAAAATCTGCATTTCAATCATTAGTAATATTAATGCAGTAATTCATGTACTGACAGTTTTTACATTGAGTAATTAAAATTTAGTATACTTTTTTTCAGTGCAGCAGTTTTTTCGATTTAGGCATTCAACTTATTTCTGTAATAATTACAATTACAAATGACACATCTGTAGTTTTATCGAACTAATGTCTCGATTATATAGCCAGCTCGCCGTACTTATATTTTCCAAGAAGAAGGTCCCCTAAGTTTGTCTGCGGCGTCAGGACATTATGTAAATGCATTTCTCACCGTGACGTAAAGATGGCGATCTCGCAAACAAAGTAGGAAATTTTTTGCCATATTGCAGTGTGCTTATATGTAAACCAGAGGGCAAACTTGGCCGGTCGGAAAAGTTTTGAGATTTTTATGGGTCTTCGTTGCAAGTAAAGCCTTCCGTCCCATCGCCCACCGGCCGCTCGCCATTCGCTGTTCGCGATTGCGAGAATGTGTTTCAACGCGAAGCACGCACGGAATTGCAGCGACGCAACGACCAAAAGTTTACACCCAGTTCTCGCAAAACTTCAGTTTTGCGATTCGCAACCGCAATAATTGCAGGCGCGGACGTTACGTGAGGCGTTTGATCGGCAAAGCAAAATTGCAAGTTGCACAAAAGTATCCTTTTATCTGCAGATGTTTCGTTACGAACTAAAAAAATTACGTGCCGAAAAAATAGTACAATATTACGAATAAAATTATTTTGTCACATGGAAGGGAATAAATGGTAAACGGTTTTGCTGAAATATTTAAAAGTTTAGTTGTGGATATGTACATGTGGGTATGATCTAAAAATTATTTTGTTAAACCATCAAAATAATACGTAGGAAACTCAAGCATGATGAGCAATGGTGCAAAAGTTTTGACATTCCAGCAACTACATAGTTGGAAAATTTATGTTAAATTTAACATATTTCGCGTATTTCAAACGATCCATTCAAATTTTGTGTTAATTTAACATAAGATAAATATGTTAGGAAATAATACAAATATATTATATAAAATATATATTATATAAATATATTATATAAAAAATTGAGATAAATAATATAACACGGACACAATTTGTAAGCAAATTGTAAAGGCATATTTCTTTAGTAAAATTAATATTTTTAATATGTTAAATTAACACATTTTATTCATTTATCTTGGAATTTGCATCTCAAAATATATTATTTTTATATTAATTATCCACTTGTTCATAAACTGTTATTATTTTAATACTAAGAAATATTGAAATAATATTTATTTTCAGATCTATATCTAGCTAAATTTTTAGATATTTCAACAAAATCGTTCTTTTTATGTAGTTCACTCGCCGTTGGAATTTTAATGAAAAAGGAACACAATCTATTATAAAGTCTAACGCGTGATAAAATCCTTTTGTCCAATCTCTTTTTATAGTAGCCGAGTTGATTTTTTATGATAATTAATTCGCGAATTATGCGTCATGTAATCTGCTGTGGAATGTGCAGGTACTGGTGACTTTCTCGGAGGAGCTAGAGGACGAGGTCGTCGACGTGGCTGTCTTCGGTCAGGGCAGCAGTAACAGCGTACCCAATATGTACTCCAGCATGGACACCATTCACATGGATACATTTTAAATGTGTTTCGTATAATTAGATTTAAGCTCCAGAGATCTTTCGCTAGACGCGAGGAATTAATGGAAATTTTACATTTTCACTCTCCTGTTCGTCATGCTCTCGCAACGCGCATTTTCGTGGCGATTACTGTGATAGTTTGCGTTTACCTTTGACGCCACGACGAAACGCGCAATTATACAAGCTCAAATAAAAAAGAGAGGAATTTTTGATCTTGTGATTCTCATGCTCTTAGGAAGAGATTTGGACGTCCATTCATTTCTTTATGGAATACAATTTTTCAAAATCAAATTCTGGTAAAAAATGTTTTACAAAACATGTATAAATATATAATTATACATATATAAATTACATCCATATATATTTTTCTTTATTATATATATATATATATATATATAATTATATAAAACATGTTTATTGAGATCCTTAAATAATATACCTTAAAATTTCGACTGTCTCGAATTAAATTTCTAAATATTTTTATACTCTTTCTAAGCAATTTTAATTTAGCAATTAATCTCTCTTTAAAACAAAAATGTATAAGTTTTTAGAGTTAGAAAATTAAAGAAAATGTATAGTAAGGTTTTAGCGATGTCAGATAGATATTCTTCGCTCTTAACGGAGCGAACGTCTATAATGGAAATCAATGCATGATTTATTTAAAATAATATATTTACGAAAGAGCGAAAAAAGTATCGAGTGGTTGGTAAGGGTGATTGGTAAGGGTGATTGAATTAGGGAATCAAAACTAACCAGATGCATTTCGTATTCTTTTAGCAATATCAGACAAAAATATCAATAATTACAGATTAATTTTATATGTAAGTATCTCGAGCAATTGTGAACAGTATTCCATCGCTGTAATTATTATTTTATTATTATATTTTTTAATAAATAAGATATCAATAATTATAACGATAATTACAATATTAAATATCAATACTTGTTCACTTTCCTGCTTATAATGCCGCTGTAAATTAAAAACATTTTAAATGACCAACAATTATATACACGTTGACGAATGTATTATATAACTAAATATACTCAAAAAATAATTGTATACCACACAATAGAGAAATTTATTATATAATTATTTAACAAATTTATTAAAATTTTTATTAATTAAAAATACACAAAATATAATTATATATTTAATTAAAAACATTATTGACATAAGATAAATCCATTTTATTAATGCGAGTGGGAGAGACGGGCCACTCATGCATCTGCGTTTCACTTCAATTTCGTTCATATTTTGTTATCGTTTTGACATTGCAATTTCGAAAACAGAGAATTCCACGAACGATGATGTCCTTCCCATCAATTTTCGCCGAAGGCGATTATCGACAAATACGTTTGACACACCCAAACCAACTGGTTAAATATTGCCGAATCGTGCTCATATGTACAAGTCCGAGGCTTTTATTTGTTGCGCTTGACGATGCGACAGCGACTCATAGAAACACGAAGATCGATGCTTATGCATCGAATGGCATAAAAATTGAAAGGAGACGCAAGAATAAAGTGTGAGAAATTTATTATCGTAGACCAGCAGAAAAAAACAATCAAAAGGAATGAAAGAACATGTTTCCAGAAGGAGATACACAGAACGAATGTTGGAGTATCTAAAAATTTAGATACTTATTGTTCGTATACTTTTAGTTGATGTCAATTCAATAGGACGATCAAGCAAATTGTTAGAATTGATACAACTTTTTGCTCAGCATGCATTTCCCATACATTTTCAGATCCATATATAGCTAAAGTTTTAGATATTTCAACAAAACCCTTCTTTCCGTATACAAGATGCGTTTCGAATGCATTTCAAATGCAAAGTCTAATTTAGAATACAGTTTTTCATTAACAGAAACATCGGAGTAATGAAATTTAAGTTATGTATAAGAGTCACATTTTTTATTGAAGAGAAAAACAATAAAAAATTTAGTAAATTGAGAGCTAAAAATTTTGAAAAGTATTCATAGTCTTCTAATTTTAACATTATTTTTTTATTTGCTATGGTATATAATTTTATTTTAGCATATTTAATTACACATTTTAAATTCAAACCCTGGTTGATTATATTCACAAACGTTTTCATATTTAAACATGAGCAATAATAATCTGCACACACATACACACACACACTTACACGTATAAACTTTTTCGGTTCGTGGTTACATCAAATATTTATGTTGCTTGTTTCATATGAATAAAAAATGATACTTCGCGCAACAAACTGCTGAAACGCATCAAAATTGCTCTGTGTTCATCATTGATTTTTATTCATGAAAAGAGAGTCGCGAATGGAAACGAGTATCAAAAGCATCGTGCATAATATTTGTATCATTATAATTAATTACATAAATTTGCAAATTTAATGTGTAAAATGCGACAGTGCATTAAATATTTCGCGGTGCGTGGCAATGAATTAATTGACACACGTTCACATTGTTCCATTTTGTTCATATTCGACATAAAGTCGAAACGATAAAGAATAAAAAATATAAATTTTCACTAGGATATTTACAACAGTTATTGAAATGCGTTGAGTTCTAAATTTTTTGTTATTATCAAGATTAGAATACAATTTACCGGATTAAACACTTGGTCTTTACTTGAACGGAGAGTGTGCATTTCTATGAATGCATTTTTCTCTATCAATGTACTATAATTCTTAAAATTAGAAAAAGATAAAAAATAATTTCAAACGTGGTTAAAGTCAATCTATATTAATAGAAATAAATGTAAGCCACGCATCGTCTCTTAGTAAATACTTTTAGTAGATTGTATTTAGTACACACTATCACATTATATGAGCTAAAACAATGTAAATTTTAATATTTTTATTAATACAAATAATTTTATAATAAAGAAATTTTACACAAAATAATCTGTCGATCCATTGGGATTTACATATTTTCAAAATATTTTTCCAAAATTCACAATCAGTTTATTGAACATAAGAATAATTTTTTGTAAAAAATATAATATTCTTTATTTATATTAACATTAATAATATTTCTAAATGTTTGTTCGTTAAATTCACACGAATTAATAAAAATCACTTTAACCTTAAATGAGTCATAATTTTGGCCAAAAATGAGCCAAACTTTTACCTTATAAAAAGAGATGTATAATTATTATAGGAATAGAAATTATAAGTTACCATAATATTGTGTGTACTTTTGTGTACTTTGCAGGAATTCACGTTTTACTTGGTATCACTGATATTCTGTAACTCTTAATAGTCTTAATAATAATGAATACCATGTACAAAACACCTTGTAATTGCCACATTCGAGTGATTAGCATTCATGAACGTAAGCAACGAAAGAAGCCGAGAGTAAGAAGAAGCTTTGGAAGACATCGAACAATTCTGCCATTGTACAGGTAAATGCTAAATTATTTATTTTAATGAGACGATGAATCCAAGATAAATGTAAGATCTGATAAAATAATTATCTTCAATGGGCTACTATAAATTAAAAAATATAATTTTGGGATTTTTTTAAATTTTTGATAAAATGAAAAGAATACTTTGATGATAAAAATAAATTTATATATAAAAACTGAAATATTAAATAAAATCCAAATAAAATTTTTAATTTTTTATATTTTACATATAAATGTTTATCATCGTAAAATTCTTCACTTTGAATGATATGCAGCAACGTTCACAAGCTTGAACTGAAAAACAGAATTGTAATATCCTTTTTCAAATATATTGTATTTATTGGAATTTGGTAAAGGCAGATTTTAACTTTCTGCCTTCCCATCTATTTTATTTCATTTAAAATATATGTAATAAAATATCCAGCGTGCACATGTACATTATTATATAAAAATATAATTCCATGGAATCGTTAACATTTCTTACTGATTTAAATTATTTTAATTTGACTATTGTCGTTTTCCTCGAGAGAATCGAATGACATATAAAACTGCGAATGACTTAAATCACATAATGTGTCGTTTATCAATTTTTTACGGAAGTATTCGTGGAAAGAGTATTTTATATCTTTGATTGCGAAACTTTGAACAAACTGAAGAAATGCAATAATTCTTCGCTCAAAGGTCGAGCACCTTCAACATTAGGACAGAATAAACACAGTTTGATTTAATAATTTTAATCGAGAATTTTCAATCTCTGTGCGTAATAAACTATATTGCTCTAAATGTATATCTTATTCGAATTAAGAATGTAATTACAGCCGTTACAAGGAATACGAAAAACAGTCTGTGAGAGAATATTTTTAACATTTACGTAGAGTGGCGGAAACGTATTAAAGAGAAGTTTAGTCCAATCATCTACGTGTCCGGAATATCCGGAAGTTTTTGTGCTGAGATCATAAGGGCGCGGAAGAAAGAAATGAAGACGAGGATTAAGTTGCTGTAATTTTGCTCGATACGACGGCATTTAGCTCTGTCCCCTAAGGCAGAATCGCTGCCCATGACGGAAAGAGAAACGAATCGCAGTCGATTATTCTACAACGGAGGTTTGTTTCCGGTTAACGATTCTGGCATTTCAAGAAAAGAGAAAAAAAGAACAGCGTGTTTTGGCGTTAACGCCAAAGTAGAAGTATAAGCGAAGTACAGAAGAATTCTATCTCTTTCTTTCTCGCGGAGTCGATTTTCATCCTTTTCGCTATATTAAAGTGGGATCTATAAATCAGTGCGAGAGAGATCAAAGATAGCTTTTCGCGCACCTAGGAAGCTATTGGCGATAAATTTAGAGCTTTCCGGCGCAGCAGTAGCGATTCCTATTCCGCGTTTTGCACGGACTTCGCTTCGTGAGGGATTTTCGCGATCCGCAATACCATTCTTACATTAACAAGATCCTTTGTTTTATTACAACAAAGAGAACAAAATTTTAATGGAACAAATGTCGACGTGACGACAGTAATATCTTGTTTTCTTCTTTTTATTATTAGTATTACGTGTTTCTTATCTATATTTTGTAATGTTTTTATTCCAGTGTTTTAGTAAGTATTGTAAAGTTTTCCCAATTATTTTATTTACCTAATCTATAAATTTAATCCTGAAATGTTATTCATACTTTTTTACATTAACGTTACTCTGAAAATTCGCCCACATAATTTGTAAGAATTCTTTTTGTCTATATTTTATAGATTTTTTTTTACAAGGTGTTAGAATAACTGAACTATTTTAATGTAAAATCTATACTAAACTTAAAAAGTGTATGGATGAAAATTTACCTACAGTAGCATTCCAGGGATATTTTCTTTCGGGAACTTTGTATCGACGTAATTAGATTTCTCCTTACATTTCTGCATTGCTCGCCTTAAGTCACCTAAACCGCATCGGCATGATA